CACTGCACTGTTGCTGTGATTGCTAAGCACTTTGATGCCTGAAACCCACCCCTGTGGGCCATGGGGACAGAAGAGAATGAAGGGTAAGCCCGTGCCATGATGGCTTAGAGGGAAGGGATTGGCGCCGAAGTGGGGCAGAGAACAAGCCTATCTCCCTTGTGCAGGGAGGTACTGGGAGCTGGAGTAGGGTGGCCTCTTGGCAGAACCCCTATCCCCTTTTCCCCTGTCACCTCCTTACCCAGTGATCACTTGGGTTTTACCAGGGACCCAGACCCGCTTCAGCCAGGAGCCAGCTGACCAGACTGTAGTGGCCGGACAGCGGGCCGTGCTCCCCTGTGTGCTCCTCAACTACTCTGGCATCGTGCAATGGACCAAAGATGGGCTGGCCCTGGGCATGGGACAGGGCCTCAAAGGTGAGTGGCCTCCCTACACGCAAGCAGGGACATCTTCACCCTCGCCTCTCACTCCCCACTGAGACTCAGGGACTTGCTTACCGTGCACGCGGCCTCCCCTCGCCCTCTCCCCCTGAGCTCTTCTTCTCACACTGTGAGTGAGGCAGTGCAGAGCCCGGAGATGGAGGGAAACCCAGAGACCTGCGAAGATGACAGCTGCAGCCAACAGGTTATGCAGGAGGTGTCAGGACAGTACAAGCCGGGGCCCGGGGTCCTTTCTATGTTCCTCGAGTGCTGCATGCAGGCCAGCTGTGCTCCACAATCTCCTTCCTCCTGCCAAGGCCATGTGCTCAGGGGCCTAAAGCTCATTTTAGTGTCAGCCTGAACACTTACTTATTCATTCAACAGGCATTTATGTAGTCAATGCTGAGAAACGCAGTGACTCACTCAGGATCAAAGAACCAACCTCGTATGTTCCTAAGCAAGTAAAGAGGCAAGCAGGAAGGCTGCTCCGGGACTGGGGAGGGCCTGAGCCCTAGCCCCCCTCTATCCCCTGTCAGCCAGGTGCCCTAAGGAAAGCCACTGTCACTCTTTCCCTCTCTGATATTGGGAACAGGCATAACAGTCACAAGACAGCCTACCTTCAAAGTGCCCCTGTAGGTTTTGCACAAAACGAGAGAAGATGCTTTGTG